ACACACACACATACATTTCCCGTCCTTGATCGTAGTAGCAAACACCGGACTATTACGTGCTCTCTCCCACACATACACTGCTCCTTCATCGAGAAGCAAGTTGCGTTGCTCTTCCATATACATACACACACACCGCTCCTTGATCGAGAAGCGAGCACCGGGTCATTGTCGCTTTGTCCGAGGTCCCGAAGAAGGTGAGGCCGCATGGCGCTTCTCCGATCCTACCCCTCCCATCCTGCTTCTCATCTCCGGCCGCTTCATCCACGAGCGTCTTCATCGGCAACTCCGTCGGCGAGCCTTGCGTCCTCTATTCTGGTATAAACAGGCTGGTGAGGGCGGTGCTCCGCACATGGGCATCATGCCTTGGTAAAGGTATAAGGGCCAAATGGCCACGCTATGCGCATGGGTTGCAAGCCCCGTGAAAAAGGTCGCCAATAGTGCCACGACAGCGCTATGCGCATGGGCATCGTGCCCGGTAAAGGTGTGAAAGGCCAGCAAATATGGCTCGGTGAAATTTGGGTCGGACGCTTGTGGCTCCACCCCGTTACGTTCATGGTGAAAATTCGGTTGACGCGATCTTGGCTCCAACCCGGTTAAAGGTTCATGGTACAAAATTGTTGGACGCGCTCCACCCACGGTTCATGGTAAATTCGGTTTGGACGCGCTTTGGCTCCATTCGTCGGTTGAAATTATACTAAAATGGTGGACGCGTTTTGGCTCCACCCGGTTGAAAATCATGGTACAAAAATGGATGGACGCAAATTGGCTCCACCCCAAATAAGTCCATGTTGATCACGGACACGCTTTTGCCGGCCTACCTGCATTCATACGGTTCATAACTTTGCATGCTATAATCACCAAGGTCTTGCATGCCAAAAGATAAAGTCTTAATTAAAACCGATAGACAAAATAGCGGTGTTGTCTTGCATCTTGCACTTGTGCATCACGTCATGTCTCTGGTTGGACGTATGTGCTCAGATACTAATCAAGTTGCATGTTGAAAGTTTAAAACCCTTAATTAAATAAATGAACCGAGCAAAAGATGTTGAATATGTGCAAGCCATAGGCTAGTTAATTAGCATCCTCTCTCGCCGAAATGCAAACTAGCCTCGCTCTCCTCCGTCTTGCATGAACGGCGGCATGATCAAACCGCCTATACCACATAGACAAAGCCAATTAGTGTTGCATCAAAATCAACACGGCTATGCAAAGATAAAATCAAATAGCCACTCACATGGTGTTGACCTAATTAAAATTAGGAAGCAGATAGGGAAAACACGCACACCATGTCATGGTCATGCCGGGAAATCAAATATGTCTAATCATGCATTAGATGAAATTACTCCATTTTAAATTACGGCTAGACCGTATACATAAACTTAACTAAATTCATTTCATCATATCAAATTCTATACCATGATCGCCCATGCTAATTAACTCCTTCTGGCGCCAAGGTTAGAATAACCAAAGTGTCATGAACATCGATATAGACTTAGCTAAGTCGAATAAGTTTTGTCATATTTATCATAATTTCCAAGCGCATCATCCATGCCCAGCATAGGCCTTCCAAGTGCCATGCATAATGGGTAAATTAAATATTGCATCTTAGCTAGATTGCATCCATGAATGTTCATGCCTAGCTAAGTTGTTAAAAAGGGCAAACTAAATTAAATTGGATCATATAGCACCGTGCATGCAAATCCCTGGCCAAACGCCGTACTATGAGTATGCATGCTAACCTTGATAAAATAAATTAATTGCACGTGCCTTCTACCAAGTCGATGACGCAACATATCTTTTTAGGCCATGGCAAAATAAATACTTTGGCTTAGCCCAAATAAAATATTGCACCATATGCCGAGTACATCCATGAACGGGCATATAAAAAACATGCTAAATCATGATCTTAAATGATCCAAAAGACTATGTCAAATTTAGTCTTCAAAGTAAATTACGTGCATACATACATGATACTATGCACCAAAGAAATGTCCGACAAACAAACAAATCATTTCCTCCTGGTCCTATATGCATATGGGGCATGGTCAAGATGTCTCATGCTGAGTTAGCCAAATTTAGCGCCATATCATGATATAACAAATAATAATATATTCATAAATGCTTTGCATAGATTAACTACATGCATATCATGGGTCGCTAGAAAGCTAAACAAACTAGCGACCAAGCGTATAAAGAGTATACGTTAGCTCCTCAACAAATGAAAATGTCATGTTTAAATAAAATAACATGCATCAAGTTCAAGCCTATGCCAAGCATGCATATTCATCCATCCACGGCTACAAGATCGAAGACTTTGTTTTCTTTTGTAGTTTGTAATAGGAAGCCATATGATGTAATCTTATTCTTTATGTACTCATGTTGGAACTCTTAATCAGGGGTGTTCTCTACGGAGATGTAATTAACATAATTTTTATGCAAATATAAGAATTATGGAAGTATGGACTTGCAATACCCGTTCTTTTTCTTTTGTCCTAATTAAATTTAACCAAAAACAAATTTGTCTCTGCTGACGCGGAGGCGGGTCATAGCCGTCCGTTTCCCCACCATCAGTCGGGCTCATTAAGGACATGTACAACAATGTTGTGACTAGTGTTCGAACAAGTGATGAAGACACGGATGACTTCCCGATTAGGATAGGACTACATCAAGGGTCAGCTTTGAGCCCTTATCTGTTTGCCTTAGTGGTGGTTGAGGTCACAAGGGACATACAAGGGGACATCCCTTGGTGTATGCTTTTCGTGGATGATGTAGTGTTAGTTGATGAAAGTCAGACATGACTGAATCAGAAACTGGAGTTATGGCGGGAGACTTTGGAGTCCAAATGTTTTAGACTCAGTAGAACTAAAACTGAGTATATAAAATGTGACTTCGGCACTACTACTCGGGAGGAGGAAGATATTAGTTTGGAATATCAAGTAGTGCCTAGGAAGGATACATTTCGATATTTAGGATCAATGCTACAAAGAGACGGGGATATTGATGAAGATGTTAGCCATAGAATCAAAGCAGGGTGGATGAAGTGATGCCAAGCATCTGGTGTCCTATGTGACAAAAGAGTACCACAGAAGCTAAAAGGCAAGTTTTATAGGACGACGATTAGACTTGCTATGTTGTATGGTGCAGAATGTTGGCCTACGAAAAGACGACATGTTCAACAGATAAGTGTCGCGGAAATGCGTATGTTGCGTTGGATTTGCGGTCATACAAGAAGGGATCGAGTTCGAACGATGATATACGTGATAGATTAGGGGTAGCACCAATTGAAGAAAAACTTGTCCAACACCGATTGAGATGGTTTGGACATGTCCAACGGAGACCTCCAGAGACATCGGTGCGTAGTGGAATCCTAAGCCAGGATAGTAACGTGAAGAGAGGCAGAGGAAGACCGAAGTTGACTTGGGTAGAGGCAATAAAAAAAGACTTGAAATGATGGAATATACCCAAAGAATTAGCCTTAGATAGGAGTACTTGGAAAACAGTTATTCACGTGCCTAAACCTTGATTGCTTCTGCTGGGTTTCAACCCTAGCCTACCATAACTTGTTTGGGACTTCAAGACTTTGTTGTTGTTGTTGTTGTTGTTGTTGCAAATAGTAATGCAATGTCTGTTTTAGGCTTGGTAGGAATATCTTAATTAAGTACTGTGGAACTGGTTATAATTGAAAACAGTTATTCACGTGCCTGAACCTTGATGGCTTCTGCTGGGTTTCAACTCTAGCCTACCCCAACTTGTTTGGGACTTAAAGGCTTCGTTGTTGTTGTTGTTGTTGTTCCATCATCCTTTGTGGCACAAGCATAATAGAACATATCTGCATTTATTCATGTCCTTCATTTAATGACCCCAAGAAAAAGTGCTGTAAACTTGACCAAAGGTCATAAAGCATGAAGTTTCCATCATTCTGCCACAACATTCTTGTACCTCAGTGATTTTCCTTTTTGAGGGAAAGGCAAATGCTAAATACCAAGTCATGTTAGACAAAGGTGCCATGCGGTATTCAAGAATGCATTGATCCATCCAACTAGAAAATATCAGAATATTGAATTGTGAGAGAAGTTGTAAATAAGTACTTAAGATCAGAAACATACCTCAAGCAAGCATTTGATACCCACATACACAAGATACGTGTGGACGCTTGGTTTAATTTGAAAGAAGTCGTAGAACTGGAGCACCAATTGTAGTAGTAGTAGTAGTTCCTCATCAAACTGTTAAAAATGATATTACATAGTACACAATCTAGATTCCTTGATCTTATTTATTGTAAGAATATCAGCGCAGAAATGCTTCATAATGTTGTCTTGAATAAATAAAGTCACAAATTTATCACTTAATACATGACAATGGTTATATATGCACTAAGATTATGTGTTTCAGTTCATTCACAAGCTAGCTGCAGCACAAGAAATAAACCTCATGTGATACCATCAGGCAAGGAACCTCCATTCATCAAATATAGTATGGATCACCGTCATATTGACAAGGTTTAACTGGGGCACCTGCTTAAATAACAATAACAGCCTACCAAAGACGGATAATGTACGAACATTTCCATATCACCAAATATGTGGATGAGAAAAAGGGAAATATATGGTTGCTCACTTCAAATCTGTTCATAAAACAGAGAAGAAGACATCAATATGTGCACTTCTTTCTATCAAAAACCAATTAACCAGTCAGTTTTTCCTTTATGAAGTAGTGAAGGTCTCTTCAAAAGCACCCATACTAAAAACAAAACTGAAATAAGTTTGCTCAAGAGAATATCAGTTATTGATTGTATTACATCGAGCTACACATACAGGATGATACTCAATGTAGTGCGGTTGTGCCTAACTGAAACTCCCTAGCCATACATGAGTACATGGGAAATCTGTATCTCCCCACTTCCTAATTATTTACTACACGAACACAACCTGAGGCATTGCACAGCAACACAACAGTCCTATCACTTATATACAAACACTCTTATTTCGGGCATGGCTGCCTCATTTGGTGGTATGGAGCTTGGAAAGTAGGTAGAGGCAAACTGAAGAAAGGAAAATCGTTCCAGCAAAGCATAAGAGGTCAGCACAGGATGTAATGGTGACCCTCTTGCTCTTCTCGAAGATGCCAACCAGTAGAACCAGGACAATGACATGACCCAGCTTTGTCTTAAGATCATTTAGCGACTTGATTTCAACCCACTTGGGCCGGTCCTACAGACAGAAACAGAGATGTCAAGAAACTGCGATTGACTGCAATTCTTTGCTGCCTCAGGAGTATCACTGATAGGGATGTGCATGTGAACCAACCGGAAGGCTGAACAGGCCGAAGAGGTTGGACCCGTAAGAGGAGTCTATGGTACTGATGAAGAGCTCGTACAAGCCTATCCCCAAGACAAACGTGACCGTTCCAATGAGAAACATTTCTGGATGTGAAACAGGCAATGCACAACAGAAAGCCATTAGGCTCATTGTTAGAACAGATTTGAGCATGCGGCAATGATATCGTAGTAGAATTGTACATTGTGGCCTTAAGTTAAGGGTTACAGTGGTTAGCCACATAACAGTGCTTATTTGAGGTATGGAACAAGCATCAGGTGAGTGGATTTGGTTACCAATGGCTTCCAGCAGCATGAGGATGAGCTTCCCTCCGCCGTGCAGGTAGTAGTCGACGAAGGCATTCATCACATGAACGCTTCCCTGCAGAATCCGAAGCTTCAGTTCACAAATTAAGGGGAGATAAAGCCCGTATGCTCGAATCAATCAATGAAGCGAGAGAACACCTTGAGGAAACAAGGGACGGAGCCGAGGAGCAAGCCACCGATGCCGAGGAAGGTCATGAAGCGGCAGGCGAAGATGACCTTCTCGATCCGCGCCTCCAGCTCCGACCCGTACCCCGTCCCGGGCTGCTCCACCGGGCGGTACAGCACCTCGCGGCGACGGTGCTCCGAGGGCACCACTCCCGCCGCCGCCGACGACGACGACGACGCCGAGTGGGAGCACTTGGGCGACACCCCTGGTGCCCTCCCGCCCCCGCGCGGCCTCGGCCTCGGCCTCCACGCCCAGCCAGCGCACCCCGCTGCCGCCGCCGCCGCCGGGCCGCAATTGTAATCTAGAGGCGTGGGCTTCATTGCCGTGTCTGGAACGGTCTCGAACCGCCTTCTCCCACCCCGCTCGCAGCCGGGGCGGTTAAGTAGACGGCTCACGGCGCCCGGCGCGGGAGAGCGCGACAAGTGGTGCGCCACGTTCGGTGCACCGCGCGGGCGGGCGCGGACACTCCCGTCGTCGTTCTCGTTCGTCGCGTTGCGGGGCGGGGCTGGCAGCGAGTCCACGTCGGCGGAGGCGGGGAGCACCCGTTCATCTCATTAGCCCCCCGCCAGTGGTGAGTGGTGGATGACAACAGAGATAATTCCATCCTCGGATGGCGCCATGGGGGGTCGATGCATGATTGAGGGTGATCTGGGCTCCCGCCGGCCAGCCATTCCTCCCGCGAACTCCGCCGCCACACACCCGCACCGGAACACGACGGTCGACGGCTCGTCTGCTCGTGCCGTGTCTCGTGTGCGAGTGTGACTGCCCATTTGGTTGGTTGACCATTGACTCGCCCGATTAGCTGGGTTATCATTACTGGGCTTTATGTATTGGCCCATGGGATATGTTGTTGTCCATAGAAGCCCGGCCCAACGGCAACTACCTGAAGCCCAAGCTAATTTCCCCTCGTCACGCAAAAAAAATAGAGCCTTTTAAGCCCGAAAAAATGCATCTTCCTCGCCTGACTTCTTTTTTTTAATGAACTTACTTGTACGGCCAAACGAATTTTTTTTCCTTCTGTATCCTTCTGTCAACTCTATTAGGATATTACTGGTTGAGACGTGAAAGGTCAAAATTACTCTTCTGCTACGGTCCTGTTCGCTTGTCTTACTTTTCAACTTATTTTTTCGTTTTTCCGAAGCGAACGGGCCTACTTCCCCAATACCGCCGCATGTCCGCATCGTACAGAGACCGAGACCGAGACCGAGACCGAGCGGAAACTGGAGTCCGAGCGAAAAAAAGAACGCGATGGGGGAGGGCGCCGACGCCGCCGCCGGCCAAGGGACGCCGCCGGGACCTCCGGCCCTGGATCCGTCGGATCCACCTTGCCCTGGCCCGAATCCCAGCGTTGGTTGCCGTGGGGGAGGCGCCACCGCTCGTCTGGTGGAGCGCGTGCGGCCCCGGCTGGTGGACGGCGCTCCACCAGGCGCCCCCTCCGGCGCAGCCAGTGGCCAGCCCGGTGCGGCCGCCACGTCCAGTGGCCTCCCCCTCAGGCAGCCCGGCGTGGCTAGCGCGTCCATCGAGCACGAGCAGCCCAGCGCGGCTGGCCCATAATATTTCTTTCTAGTTTCATGATATTGAATTGTCAATTCAGGGAAGAGGCTATCCAGATATTCAACAAGAAGGCATGTGCTCTTTATTCATTAAGTTCCTCTTCCATATTTCTCAACCTCTACACTAATTTTACATTCTTTTTTTTTCCATCCAAGATTCCTGCGGTACCTGGTTGAACAGCTGCATCTGATTTTGAAGAATATTGCCTTCCAGACTACTGCCTACTTCATTTGTCACCTGAAGGCGAATAAACTGGAGTGATTCAAGTGCCATACGTACTCCCTTTTTTTGGGGAAGATGTTCCTTACTTTCTTGTTGTATGTCAAATGCCAACCTGTAAAATCATGTTTTCTGCTGCACAGATAGGAGGAAAGCTGAAGGTATTCTTGCTAGGTGCTATTTACACAGGGAAGCCCCAAAATGGAGGTAATGAAGTATGAACCAGCTATGGAGTTTTACTAGGTGTATTACAAGTATATATCCTCAATGATATCACTGTGATCTCTAGTTTTTTTAACGAAAAATACAGCAGAGGAGACCCCACTGTAAACTTTTTATTAAACAAAAAGAACACCAACAATTCTATACAAGAAGAAACAAAAAGGGAAGAATGCCTGAGGTGGGCAGCAAAGCTATACTAGAGCAGTTGCACAAGAAAGGAAGACAGAGCGCTTAACAGAAGTGGGTCAAATCAGTCCGAAGCACTTTCTATTGCTTCACACGAAGATCAACCTGTTCAAGGTAAAAAGAAGAGACCCATCAAGAAGAAGCTAGGCTTTCCAAAGAAAAAAGGCGTAGACATTCTGAATGTGCCAATTGACAGCCTATCGATGGGTACAAGAAGCAAGACAGGACTTCCTAACAGTCCTGACATGAGCACGCGAAGCAAAAAGAAGACTCAGTGTTTGATTTGTGATATGCCTATTGAATTCGATCGCTGTATGTGAGACAAATGTATGTTTGAATTCGCACTTTTTGTGTGACCTTATTTATGTGTCACCTTATTTATGTGAGACTAAAACTGTAGTGGATCTGTGAACAATTTATGTGTCAAACTATGGTTAATTGCAATGCATTTGTGAAAATTTTTATGCATTTGATAAGCTCATTTTATTGCAATATATTTGTGTACTAGATTATGTGTCCTATTGTGTACTGTTATGTGTGAATTTATTGGCTTAATATTACTCCAAATATACAACCGACAAATAAGATTTTGCATTTTATTTTTTTTCAAGGGTAAAACGGTCATTTTACCCTTGACTTAACACCGTCAAGTGGTAAAAACGGACGAAAGACCATAGAAGTAATAAAATTTCGTTTCGGGGCCATACAAGTAAGTTCCAGAAAAAAGAGGCCATACAAGAAAGATGCATTTTTTCAGGGTCATACAGATAAAAAGCAAAAAAAAAAGTGAAAAAGAGAGAGAGGTGTAATCAGATAACATTATCCTCTCAGGATTTGATTACAAATTACAGCAATCAGTAATGCTCACGAAATTTGGTATATATACATCTTCTCATCACAATTCACAAGCCGGTGGCACCGAAGTGAACTAATTCAACAATTAATAATAATAAATAGGATGAAAACTGAAGTATACGTATACATACATAATGATAAGATTATACCAAATGTGTCTTCCTGCACAGTAGGAGTATCTATCAATCTATGTACTGTACCAAACCAGCATTTTTATTTTTATTTTTACAGCAAGCATTATTTTTGTTTTGGTCTGTACAAGAATGGCGCATTGACATAAGCATCTGTCAAATTGTGTTGGTTTCTGAGGGAATGAACAAATGAATGGCAGAACAAATGCTGAGCTGCAGAGGAGACTGCAGGCAGAGGCAGAGGAGCCGAGAGGGGGACGCTACGGCGACTTGGAGCGGCAATCGATGGGCATGGCGGTGCCGTTGCCGGGGTAGTTGAAGAGGAAGCGGCAGGAGATGCGGGTCCAGAACTGGAGCGAGGCGAAGATGCCGACCTTCCAGGTGGTGCGCGCCTTGCCGAAGAGGTCGAGCGGCACGACGGCCTCCCGGAGCGCGCCGGCCATGGCCTCCATCCCCTCGGGGCTGAGCTGCCGCCCCGCCGACACCACCTGATACCGGAGCGGCAAGAAGCTGCGGCGCGGCACGGCGAAGGTTCCGGCCCGCAGCAGCGCCACCTCGGCGCCGCGGAACCCGACGGCGAGGTTGACGCGGGAGAAGGTGGCGTCGGTCTTGGAGTTGGAGTTCTCCGCCAGCACCGTGAGCGCCAGCTGCAGGTCCCGGATGGTGCCCGACTGGTCGTACACCAGCGTCTCCAGCCGCGCGTCGGAGACCAGCAGGTACGGCGTCTTGGGCTTGTACAGCAGGTACACGGCGAACACGGTGGCTCCCGTCACGATCACACCGATGGCCAGCACCGTGCACAGGATCACCAGCGCCCACACCAGCCCGGAGCTCCGGCGCTGCTCCTGCTGCCGGATCCGATGCACGCCGTCCCGCCTCTTGGGGTGCCCGTGGCCGTAGTGCTGCGCCGGCGCCTCGACGCCGCCGGCGGTCGGAGCGGCGGCGGCGGCAGCGGCATAATGGATACCGCGGGCTGGCTCTGTGGTGCTGGACATTGCTGCTCACTCCGGCGCCGCTGTGCCGTGCCGGCGGGGCCGGGATGGAAGAGATTAATACTGGAGGAGTGGCATGGGGGCAAACCGGCAAAGCAGAGGGAAGTATGGTTAAGGTTGGGGAAGGGAAGGGTTTGGTATCTCCGCTTCATTCCTTGCTCTCTTCCCCAGCTTCCTTTTCCGGAGCTGATCTGCAAGCGCAAGGTGCCGCCTTGCTCGCCTCGCTTGCTTGCTTTAGACCTTCAGTCTTGCGCTACTTAGTTTTAATTTTAAATCATCACAGACACATCAGATCTGGGCCCCTGCTGGCTTTCGGCATGTCCGGGCCGGGTTGCAGGAAGAACGACACATCATCAGTGAACAGTGATGATCACCCATGGCCAGCCATGGGCTTTCTCAGTTTCTCGCATCTGGGCCCAGCAGCTGGTCACTGACAGTCTGACATTAGCAGTAGCAGTTAACCCCAAGTGAAGTGATGATTAACGGGTTTCAAACTTTCAATTACGTACAAACCCCACCATCAGGAATCAGGAAAACTCCCCTGTTCTGTTGGTATTAAAGTGATTGACTATAAGAGAAAAATACTATAGATTGTACCTGATAAGCCGGCTGATAAGTTTAAACGAACATGCCCATCCGGCACACATACCCAGATGGAAGAATACTTGAGTAATGTTTAATGAAATTAACTCCATGAAAAAATTATGTTTTCAGCTCGGAACTAAAGGATGTATGGTTCTTTCCAGTGTGGTAGAGAAGATGCCGTCAGAGTGAAAGGGAGTGGCCATCGGAGTAGGGCTTCGAATCTGGGGAGGATGAAGGACGTTTGAGCCTTGAGCCTTGAGGTAGAAGATGCCGACGAAAAGGTGAACACCAAAGAAGAAGCGACTGACGCCATGAATGGGCTCTTTGTGGGCCAGACTCTCATAACAGGCCCAGGGAGATTCACAACTTTGAAATCAGCAGCCTGTAGTTTGCTGCATTTTGTAAGACTAATTTTTTCTCCTTCTCTTTTGAGATTATATTATATTAACAAATATATCCATGCGTTGCAACGATACTTATATCATGTGTCATACATTCTAATATGTTTTTGGAACTCATTCTAATACGTTTTGGAAATAGACTCGGTAACGTGGTTAGAGGTGTGCTATTCAAACTCGTATAAGCATGAGTTGTGACTTTGGATTACGAACAGGACATAAGCCAATCAGAACCATAATCTCGAATTCATCACGGTCGTAAGTTCAGGTCACAGGACACACGAATTATTACTCTTAGTAAAACTGGGTATGACTCTTATGCTCTGGAGAGTGGAGGGACACACAGATGATGAGAAGAGGGTGTGATGGACGGAAAAATAGAAGAGAAATTTTGAAATCACATACACTGTGAGGAATCTTTTCGCTATATCTTCTTCGTTCTAGTTCCTATCTAGTTCATTCTTACTCTATGATCAGGTGAAAAACGTGGGACGGCTGGTCGAGGACACGCGCTGCGGAGGCGTCCAACGGTGGCTTGGTCGCAGGTGTGTCGGGGACACGCGCTGCGAAGGCCGGAGGCGCTGAAGAACCGCCAGGTGGTCAGGTCAGCGTCAAAGCAAACGGCGAACTTTCCATAAAAAAAAAGCAAACTGCGAACGGTCAGGCTCTTCGTCGTGCACCAACCACTACCATGCCAATACCATACTAGCCCGTGAGCTGCTGTCAGGGACTGCCCATGGTTGGGCTTTTATATGGGCCATGTGCATGGGCCTCGAGTAATTGCCTGTGGACCACTGGAAGTCAACTACAAGAGAGCGTAGGGCAGCAGCAGGCGAGGGTATCGAATATTTAGGCCCCGTTTGGGACGGCTTCCGCGGCTCCGGCTTTTCTGATGCAACACTGTAGCGCGAAGCCGATTTTCTCTCTCCTTCCCTCCCCTCTCACAGACATCGGCACTGTTCATCGAAGCTGGAGAAACTTGTTTTTCCTTGGCTTTCCCGCGTGCTACAGTGATACAGAAAAGTAGGAGAGAGAAAACTGGCTTTTTGCTACAGTTCATCGAAGCCGGAGAAGCCTGTTTCCCTGGCTTTTTCCGCGTGCTACAGTGAGACAGAAAAGTAGGAAAGAGAAAACCTGCTTTTGCTACAGTGTTGCTACAGTTCATCGAAGCCGGAGAAGTCTGTTTTCCTGGCTTTTCCCCGTGTGCTACAGTGAGACAGAAAAGTAAGAGAAAAGAAAACCGGCTTTTTGCTACAGTCGGAGCCGTCGGAAGCCCCTTAGAATACAACTGTACTGTTCATCTTCCTCCTCTGGTGTCTCTCTAGGTCTAGAGTACTCTTCCTCCAGTCCAATCCTCCATCCCCGATTGCTTGCTGAACTCTGACCTCCCTTCCTCTTGAGGTCCTGTACCCTATTGCTCTCAATCGATTTACCCGTGAACCAATATAGTGTGGTTGCTAACAGCTGCGCACCCATGTGGTTGTGGACTGCAATTGCAAGCGGGGCGCGCGTCCGCGAGCGAGCCGCAGACCGCGGTGGTCTCCCGCCGGAGCAGTCCCGGCCGCCGCGCGCCGTGGGCTAGCTAGCTCTCGTGCGCCGGCCGTCGCCGTCTGTGGTGCCGGATCAGGCACCTACCACTATTGGCGCTAGTCCCCCCGGCCGTCCTCCAATCTCTACCTCGGACGGGAGATTGCTTGTGACGACGATCGAACTGACGGCTGGAGGAGGACTGGAGTCGAGGCCGTCGAGGGGCACCAGGCACTACAGGACAGTCTGTCTCAGTCCATAGCCGCCGTTGGATTTGACATTTGACCACGATGAGTTGAGCTAGCAAGCTCTAGCTTTCTTCGTTCCTTGCGTTGGTGCCTCTCCCTCTCCGACGACGACCCCCACCCGGAACGGTGCAAAGCTGAGTGCCGGCGACATTGAAAGGACGGCGACGGCCAATTGTTGTCAGCTGTCCTGCACTCGCTTCTGACGGTCAGGTCAACACGCCTGCCTATACATTCCCAGGAACATTGAAAGGCGATGCATGCATGGTTAATTGGTTATTACAGTTTGCATATGAATATATGATTGTCAATAGGACCGCCAGACACGCGTCTCCGGCCGGCCGAGTCGTCGTGCTTGCGCTCATCGTCAGCTCGTGCGGTCCAGTCCCATCTACGTCGAGCCGGACGAGACCCACTTGTCCATCGAGCGGAGCGGAAAACGTGTGAAGCAAGGACTGGCTACGGCCGTTTTGCAGGTTCCTCTCTGGCTCTATAGCCCCAGCGCATGCAGAAAAGTCCTACAAAATAGTTTAGTAGTAGGAGGCGTTTAGAGTAGTTTTTCCAGTGAAAGCAGAAAGAATCCTTAAAAAGAGCCCTATCAAACGAGACCTACATATACATATACACGGCCAATCGATCGAACTTGTTTTTCATGCAGGCTCGTCATCACTGTCGCCTTTATATATAATTTGTGGCCTGGCCCTGTTCGCTGGTCTAAAACTTGGCTGAAAAATACTGTTCCGGCTGGTTTGTTGTGAGAGAAAAATACTGTTTGGCTGGTTTGGTGAACAGTAACTTGAAAGGGGATCAGCCGGCTGGCTGAAATAACAAGACCAACGAACAGCCCCATAATTTGTAATGATGCAATGAACGTCGATCTGGTGATGTGTACGATTGGGGCCATGTTTTTCGAAAAAAAAATCAGTGCCACGACACTCATGAAGCAACCATGGGCATCCACCCTGGATTCGTGACACATGTCCATACGAACACATTCAACATATGAGAGAGTTGTAGTTTTTCTTTCCAATTATTCCTCCTAATTTAAGCAAGAGTCTCATACGTTCAATGCATGCACATAGGCACGCGTCGTGAATCCGGGGCGCCCATGGTTGTCCCATGAGGACAGTTCCCGCCGATTTTTTTTTTCTATTTTTCATGGTGCATAGCACGCATTCGTTAAGGCAAACATGTGCACACTTTTTCACCTGTCTAATCTCTATATTTTTCTATCCACGAGCGCCATACGATGTAAGACTATGGAACCGGTGGTAGAGCTAGAGCAAAATAAGGAACATATACTCGTCTTATGGGATATTGATATTATGTTTTTGTTAGTCCTGGCAAAAAAAAACAAAAAGAAAATTATAAAATTTGCTTGGAATTTCGGGCGTAACAAAGCCTTTTACAACATATTATTTTTTTAAAAGCGCGAAGAAGCTAGGGGGGAACTTGCATGTAATACAGTTTTCCATTGAAGTTAGAATGATCGTCGCGTATGAACCAGACTAGGCAACAAACTTGAAATAAGCTCAGCTATCAATCAACGGCCTTCCTTGCGTAGTGATACACGCAACTAATTTAGAGCATGTGTGCACCGTGTACGTCTAACACAGCCCCGTATAGTCTGAGTGGGAGGTAGTCGGACATTCAAAGCTAGCTCGAAACTCGACGAGGACCGACGGAGGCAACCCTTTGCTGAAGAGTATTCAGGAACTATGACGTTGTTGGAAAATGAACTCGTCAACGTGGCCAAGGGTGACGTGTTCCCAAACAAAGTGGAGGTCCATTTTCACATGTTTGGTGGGTTGGTGCTACACTGGATTACCAGTGAGGTAAATGATGGCACTAACATTATCATAATAAACAATGGTAGCTCGATGAAATGGGGTGTGTAGCTCCATATAGCAACTGGCACAACCAGATAGCACCAGAGACATGTGCAGTGATACTCAATACGGGTTTAATTGGTAGCTTGTATTGTGATAGCCTACATAAGGGTCTAGTGTTTGATATCCAATCTAGCATAGCCTTATGCTTTTGAGCAGTATTTGGTTGTCCTGCATTTTGACTTTGCACAACTTAAAACTCTGTTTTGTTGCCTACACTAGATGATGAAATGCGTACGCTACTACACAAATGAATTTGCAAAGCGGTGCCCAAACATTAACCGAGACGGTCACAAAATTCAACCGTCTCCAAAAATGCCGGCCGATTAACAGAGGCAGTCGTTTTCATTTACGGAAAT